TTTAATATTGGTTTTATAATTATTAGGTTAAACTTTTCTCTTATTATATGGTATTTATCACGTAAATCTTCAATTTTCATTATGATTTTTCTTTTAATAGTAGTATTTTTATGATTTTTATAGATCTTATGGATCCTATATGAGTCTTTTATGGTCAATTTGGTTCAACCTGGCTCTGATACCAATTCTGGGGGTGCTATTATGAGCGAACAAAAATCTAATCAACTTTAAAATTTAATAATCTTATAATCAGTTAAACAAATGTCTTATAATGTTTCTAATAGATTTTTTTTTATAATTTTTATTAGTCATGTTTTAATCTAGGACTTAATTGCATTCTTTTCTTATTTTGATAGCTTTGGTTGCATTTATTGTTTTTAGGGGTATTTTAGGTAGTTTATGTGGTTGAATAGTGAAAAGGGGTATTTTGGAAAGGCTATTGCTAAATTTTGGGTATTTTCAATAATTTCCCAAAAAACGTTTGTGACCAATAAAATGAGTAATTTGCGACCTAAAAAAATATGCAATCATGACCTACAATTTGTTTTTTTGGACCGATAAATAAATTGTGATCAATTAATTTAATAATTTGTAATCAATAAATATGTTGTGATCAATTAATTTGATAATTCGTGACCGACAAATACATTTGATAAATTAATTTGATAATTTGTGTACTATAAAAATGAATAGTTTGGGATTAATTTGTAATGATGACTTACAATTGTGTCTTTGTGATTTTGATCACGTTGTTGGCCACCGACGTGTGACCATGACCACAAACTATGTATTATTATAATTGAGACATGTTTAATTAAATTGTAAGTCACAATTTTTATCCGAGACCAAAATGTAATCACCTAATTTTGGAAAAAATGTTATGAGTGTGAGAAAGTGTGAGGTGAAAGAGAGAGAAAATGAGAGATTAGAGAAATAATTATTAAATGATATTATTAGAGAGAAAATATGTAATGTAAGAAAGAGAATGAGAAAGTGTGAAATGTAAAAAAGAGAGAGTAAGATGTAAGAGAAATAATATTTAAATTTGTTATAGCCCTTGTTTGGATAATGAGACTTTTGGAAATAATGTGTTTTGGAATAGTAATTTTCGGAAGAATGTGTGGTTAAAAAAGAAATATTTTTTATTTAAGTATAATATTATTTTATTAGAGATTGTGTGGTTAAAGAAGAAGAAAGAGAAACGAAGAAGAAAGAGAAAAATATATTAAAATTTTAATTGAGCTATTGTTGATAAAAATATTCTAAATTAACTAGATTTTTGAAATATTTTTATAAGTTTGTTAAAAGTGAAATTGTGTGCTTAAAACATTGTATTTATTTATTTTTTTCCTTGATAATCTTCTTTTGGCCCATTTAGTTTTTTTTTTTGTTGTGATGAAATAATTATTAAAAAATCATTTACAAATGTTAAAAACTCAAAATATTCTTAAACTAAATATTCTATTTTTTAAAAAAAATTATATTGATATAGTAAAAATAATTCAAAAAGTACATATCTATATATAATTTAATTAATTTAGGTTTCGGGTTGATCCGAATTAACCTCGGTTCGACCCTTTGACTCTTGATCCTCTTCATTGTTTGGATCAATATTCAATTTGATTTTGAAAACAATGGAATTTTGCTAAACATGCGCTAAATAAGAAATAATACAATCCTTATCAAAGTGTTTCTTGGAGCCTAGACTTGAAACATTCTTACTATATATTCAAGATATATTTTGACTCTATAATGATCACAAAAATGTCTAGCTAAATATTTATTTACGAAATTGCAATCAATTACAACATCAATTAACAACTATGAAACTTGATTAGGACATACAATAATACTAAGAATTTGACATCGATAATTTTATTTTCAAATTTTGCATTGGTAGCATTAGTACAAAGGGTAACTAAGCCATGTCTAGCCCCCATTTTTCAAAAACTCACGTTACGTTTGGTTTGTGTCTCAGTTTTCAATTTTGAGTTTATTTTCAACTTTTTGTTTTGAAGGTCTTTTTTAAGATTGATAAAAACAAGTTTGATTTGTCATTTTGAAAAATTATTTCTCAAAACATAACTAGAAAACATTCGGCTTGAAATTTTAAAAATTTATTTTATGACATTTTATTCCATTAAAATTTGATTTATAGTAAAATAGAAAAACAAATTTCAGAAGTTAACAACTTCGGTCATAATTCATTTCAAGCAATAAAAATGAGATTGTCCAAATTTTATTTAGTCCCTATTTGACGTGACTTAAAATATTGATAAGAAATTAATTTAAAGTTAATAATTAATTTTACTCACATATTTTATGATATTTTATCAATTTTTTAATTAAATATTTCATAAATTTTATTAAAATTAGATTTTTAATTACATAAAAATAGGATCTTACACAGTTATAATTATGAAAAATGCATGTGGCCTCCACTCTATGTGAGGGTTATGGACACCCTTATGTACATAACTTATGTACATTAATTATGTACACAAAGTAAAGTCCTATAATTATTAATTAGAACTTGTTTGGTAGGGATTTTTTGGGGGAAGAATTGATTTTGAATAGTGATATGATGGGAAATGTGTGGTTGAAAAAGAAGATAAGATTATTGATGTGATAGAAAATATTATTTTATTGAAGAATGTGTGGTTGAAAATGAAAATTTTAATTATCAACCATTAGCGGTAAATAATGGTGATTAAATTATTGTTGAACGTAGTAAAGAAATTGAATGATTAAGAGCTTGTTTGGGAGAGATTTTTGGGGGAAGAATTGATTTTGAATAGTGACATGATGGGAAATGTGTAGTTAAAAAAGAAGAAAAAATTATTGATGTGATGGAAAATATTATTTTATTGAAGAATATGTGGTTGAAAATAAGAATTGATTTATTGTAGAAAATGAGAATCCCTACCAAACAGGCCTTAGTATTCTACTTTTTACGTGGCTCTGACAGCGCACTGAGGATTTACGCTGGAACACCAAAATGGCGGACAAATGTATCGAATTTAGGCGCCAACAATGAAAATTCGCGTACTTTAGAGCCAAATATTTGTCTCCAGTGGCGGGAAATAAATAAATAATACACAACAATCGAAAATCACTTAAAGCAGTCACTCAAAAAAAACAGAAAAATCAGGCACCATCTCGACTTCCAAGAAAGTTTTTTATTTTTTTTCATCATTATCATCTGAACCCTTTTTTCTCTGGATTAATAAATGTCATCTTTCTCTTCTTCTTTTTACATTTAGGGTTTTCTTGGAAAATCAGTGAACGGACTGTGGAATTTCGTACGAAATTATCCAAAAAAGGTCCTCCATTTGCCTCTGTTTCTGGGGTTTCTGGGTCAGAGAGCAATCTTGAAAATAATTTCGAACAGGGGTTTTCATTTCCTCATCTGGGTCTTTGTTATTTTATCAATAGATATAGAGTAATTTTATGCAGTAATGGCGGAAGTTGAACCGATGATGATTGATGGCGCTTATGTAAACAGCCTGAAATCAAATGGCCCAGATCAGAAAAGGAAGGCATTGAAGAGAAAGAGAGTGGATCCATATGTATATACCACAAGCCCAGAAGAGAAACAGGCAAAAATCAACGGATTCCGCGAGGAAATCAACAGTTTAATCAAATTCTGCAAAGATTTAGTGTTGGAACGAAGAGAGGCGTTGTTGGAAAATGTGGAAAAAATTGGGATTTCTTCCGCTTCTTTAAATGGTGTGATTGCATGTCTGATGGAAGAGAGTGAACTCCCTTTGTCAAAGCTTGTGGACGACATTTTTGAGAAAGTTAAGGGTAAAATTGGAAATGGTGATAGTGTCAGTAAGGCTAGTGTGAAGAACAGTGTGCTTCTAGTTGGGCAGAGATTATGCTATGGAGTGCCCAATGCAGACGCTGACATTTTGGAGGATGAATCTGAGTCTGCCCTCTGGTATTGGGAGGTAGAATTCTCAATTTAATTTTATTTAATGTTTCCCTAAATCTTTGAATTGATTCAGGCTGTTGTGTTATCTGGGCACAATTTGTAGATATTGTGATATGCAGTTACTTTGGGGGAGGGGGAAGGGGGATGATGCTTTGGATATATGTTTAATATACTTCACGTCTAAATTTATTTTGACTAGGATTGGTGAGCACAGGATTGATTGAACTTGTTTGAATATGTTGTTTAGATCATGAATCACGTGCCTTGTACATGCAATGTATGGGAGTTCTGGTTTATTTATTTTTGTAATGGGTTAATGTACTAGGAGGATTGCAGTTGCGTCATTTTGGCACTTTTTATATATTCATTTATATTAAACTAGTAAAGTTATATGCATCAAATTGGAAATTTGGCATTGTGTGAACTAGTTGTTGCGTTTATGATATAATTCTTTATATTGGATTCTTTACACAAGCTCTGTTCTGGATTGTGTTGTCTTTCGACATAAGTGCTCTACTTGGAATGTGCAAATGCGTGTGGCTTATTTTTGGATTTGGAATTTTCCCATTGATTATGAAGTCATAAGTAAAAGCTACTTCCCGTATACTTTTGTAATTATTGCTTCTCATTGCGTAACATTGTTATTTTCTCACTTTTTCTGTTATACCTTCTCATATTTTTGTTTACTATATATTGCCATTATCTTTGTTGAGGAATTCTACTTTTCTTGTTCAATTAGTATGTTGTATTCTGCTGTGGTTGTAGGCTAATCCTGTCTTGTTTATATATGTTTTTCATAGACGAGGGATTTGAAACTGATACCAAAATCAATGCGAGCGACTCTGAAAGTTCGGCGTACTTGCCGAAAAAAGATCCACGAACGAATTACTGCTATTTGGGGTAAGTCTGTACTGCTCAACCACATATAAGTTTTGGCTTGCTTTAATAATGAATTGGTCTGTACGCTTGTGGATTCTGTGTAAATACGTTATATATATATTTGAGTCACACTTTGAAGCTTGATTATTAGTAGACCAACCTTCAGTGTTTATAATATGGTTACTTGCTGCTCTACGGTTGAAAGGAAACAGGAACACGAATTAGGAAATTTAGCATGTACGCTAAATCTACATGCCATAATGTCCTTGCTGCTCTACGGTTGAAAGGAAACAGGAACACGAATTAGGAAATTTAGCATGTAAGCTAAATCTACGTGCCATAATGTCCACCCGTTTGTCATAAACTTTAACAGGTTAAGAAACAAACTTGCTTAACAGTATGTGTACTTGCCTGGGACCTGTATTACTGTCTCCTATTTTACTTTATAAAAATCCTCTACAAAGTTATAAAACAATGGTTTACATACCCTTTATCTATAATCAAGATTAAGATGGTTAAATGAAAATTGGAGTGGAAGATGTGAAAAAGGTGTATTGAGTAGATCTATGAAGCACCAACATGCCACCGGCGCTGGCGAATCGGTTGTTAACGTGTTGGAAATGCCAGGTGGTGTGTACTCTTTTTGTTTATAGTTTTTTCGAACTGGACACATTGCCGATAAGAAGCCAGCACTTCCAGATGCTGTGGATCCATTTCAAGAAGTCAAAAAAAGGAAAGAAAAAAAAGATTAATGAACTCAAATGATGGAAAATTCCATAGGTGGAAGTGTGAGAGGTGAAGATATGGTGTGGGGTGAAATGGATAGGTACTTGCGTGGAATGGAAGGGAGAGAGGTTGAGGCGATGGCCAAGGGAGATTTGAAGACTGAAAAACATTATTTGAACTCTTAACATATTGAAATTGTTTTGAACGTCTCATTTTTTATGGAAAAGGAGATCCATGGTTTTTGTCAAATCAACGTTGCTCTTTTCGAAAAAGAAATGCCAACAAATCAATGATCATGCTTTTACACACAGATTTGTTTATCTGAAGTGTTAGGAAGCATTGTTCATAAACAGTTATTTCAATCTCAAAGTCTATGGGCCAATTTAGTCAGATTTCTTCATCTTCTAAAGCATTGTGACTTAATGAAATAATAATTCTCCTATGGGCCAATTTTATCATTTTTCTTCATCTTCCGAAGCATTTCAACTTAATGAATAATTTGTCCGTTCAAGGCTAAGTTAATAATAGTTATTCATATTCAGAGACGGCTAATATAGATGGGAAAACTGGCAAAGCAGGAAAATGCACTGCAACTGCCAAGAAAGATAAGCAAATAAAAATGTGTATTACTGTTATTCAAAATGGAAATTACTTTAGTTTTAGCCCTTGTTTGGCCCCCATTAAATTACATTACATTACATTAAATTGTTCTCTCTCTTCATTTCACCACACATTCTCCCTTCAATCACTATTCTAAAAATTTTCAACCCCAAAAAATGCAAAATAATGAGGGCCAAACAGGGGCTTAATGTGTTCTATATTTGAGTTAGTGTACCCAAAGGCTTTTTATGTCCCATGGACCAAAGGCAAGATGAATATGTTGAATCTTGTGTGGGGAAATTTAATTTACAGGATGAAAAATGGTAGCACTGCCTCCTCTTGAAGTGAATTTATGGGTGCAATTAAATTTTAAGATGCTTACATATACAGGAACTCAAATTTGTTCAATTGAGGCCTTGTTTGAGTCACATTAAAATTTTCATTCTCATTTTTCTATTCATTTTCAACCACACATTTTTCAATAAAATAATATTTTTCATCACATCAATAAGTTTTCCTTCTTTTTCTACCACACATTCTCCATCAATCTACTATTTCAAAATGCATTCTTCCAAAATAATGTGGCTCAAACACACCCTTACCATCATCCATACTTTTCTTTTACAAGTGAACATAATGTTTTTGATTGTCAATCATTGATATGAATAGACTGGTGAAGTTAATTTCTGGTGCTTTTGAAGACAACCTTGATGGAAGAAGCTATATGGGAGAATTGAAACGTGTGTGCTAAAAATGGGTGCAAATTTGAGATCATTTCCAGTTTACCTTCGTTAATGAATTTTTAAAATAATTTCAGAAGTTTTATACTCTGGCAATCGTCCAATGTGGGAATTGGGCGGAGATGTATTGTGGATATGATTACAAGTGAACATAATGTTTTTGATTGTCAATCATTGATATGAATAGACTGGTGAAGTTAATTTCTGGTGCTTTTGAAGACAACCTTGATGGAAGAAGCTATATGGGAGAATTGAAATGTTTGTGCTAAAAACGGGTGCAAATTTGAGATCATTGCCAGTTTTACCTTCGTTAATGAATTTTTAAAATAATTTCGGAAGTTTTCTACTCTGGCAATCGTCCAATGTGGGAATTGGGCGGAGATGTATTGTGGATATGATTAAAGTCTTAAAGTTTCTGACCAAATTAAGTGGTATGCTGGAAGCTGTAGAGAGGATATTGTTCTTTACAGAATATCATGTTTACTAAGTGATTTTGCTAGTTAAAAGTAAGTGTGTTTGGATTTATTGAGCAGAGAAATGCCAGATCCATGCAAGGGATTTGTAACCATGTTAATCTAACGGTCCAAGTGTCAGTAACTCATGGTGACTGCTGAGTCGCATCATGCTGAATTTGAATCTATTAAATCTTATTACTTGATAGTTCAACCTATGTTTTTGAATAATTCAAATTTTTGTCTTGTTCTAATTTCTATTAGCTAGTCTCTTTTACCTTCACGGAACATCATCTCATCTTCAAAGAATGGTCAAAGGATTTAAAGCTAGAAGATATCTCCATTGATGATCGTTATTTATGCGATAATTTTATGCAAGTTTACTCTCTAGGCACTTTTCTTATTCTTTCTTTCAAATAAATTGTACAATTGTTCAAGTTGGCCCATTTTTGAAACTTTGTTGAGTGGAGGAATCTCAATATTGTGATCATGTTAGTGGTTTTACTTGACAATTTGAGTCCATTTCAGCAACGGTAACTGCACTGGAAAAATCAGAGGACCATCGGAGCTACAGGCAAGATTTGATAAAAGCTTCAGACAAGCTTAGCAAAGTTTTAACTGAGGCAGATATCTGTTTGTTGATGCAGACCATGTCCCAGAAAAATGCTGCTGAAGTGTATGTATTCCAGGTATAGTTTTTCCCTAATGTTGGTGTTTAGCAATGGTCTTAATCAGTATTTATAATGGCGAAGGTCCGAGAAAGAATCCAAGCGAGAAGAAAAGCTTTTAATCAAGCAAATGGAGAAAAGCAAACGTCAGACGTTGAAGGAGAGGAAAAAGATGGATCAGGAACTTAATAAGGAAAAGTTGCAAACTGTAAGTCCTGTCTCAAATCTTGTACATTTTATTTGGCTGTTGTGTGATTAAAAATCTTCAAAACTTTAGCAGTGTTCGTATAGAATAACCTTTTGACCTTCTTTTAGTTTTGTTAGATAGTAATGGAGACTATGAATCCGAAAACATTCAAGAGCTGGCTTTCATGTCTTGTTATGTCCAAGATAGACTTGTATATGAATGATGTAGATTTTTACAGGTTTCAGCTAGCGAACATAGTTTTTCTTGGTTTGTTAGTTTGAAGTTCAACAACCTTGCAGGAAAAAGAACTAAAGCGATTACAAGATGAGGCCGAGAAGGAGGAGAGGCGCCTTGAGAAGGAAGAATCTGAAATGCGGAAACAGCTGAAAAGGCAGCAAGAGGAATCAGAGAAAGAACAGCGTCGCAAGGAGAAGGAAGAAGCTGAGTCAAAAAAACGACTTGCTCTGCAAAAACAAGCATCCCTCATGGAACGCTTTCTCAAAAAGAACAAAACTAATTCAACTTCTCAAAATGGCGGTGCTGCTAGCAAACAGGAAACATCTGATCAATCCCCTAAAAGGGTTGAAAGGATTTCTGGACCAGTTACTGTGCCTATGGACTCTATTCTAACCGTCGGTGAAGGAATTGATGCAGAAGATATATGGAAGTGGGTTCCTTAAGTTTCCCATTTGTTGTGGATATCTTGTAAACTACTCTTGGTTTAGATAGTATAAGACACTACCTTGGTTTCCTTTTGCAGATCACACCTAAAATCTTGGCGTTGTTTGGGACACTCAGTTCATTCTAACAGGAAAATGCATTGGGGAATTCGTCAGAAGCCTAAGACTGAATTGGTCAAGGAACTTAAGCTTAGCACTAACAGAGAATTTACCTGTGATGAAGATATGAGCCTAGAGAAGCTTGTGGATGGATGGATTGACACTAATGTTGATGGACGTTTATCTTGTACGAATGCTAATACTCTTCCCAATTTCCAGAAGCGTAGTAAGAATAGGCAGCTTTTGCAGTTTGATAAGAGTCATAGGCCTGCCTTTTATGGTGTTTGGTCCAAGAAAAGGTGAGGAAAATTGTCATGTTATATTGTTATACTATTGTGCATATAGATTTGCAAGTGCGTTATGTTGGAATGTCATTCCGTAATATCTTTTTTGTGCATACGGAAGGCCTGTCTTGAATTTTAATTAGAAATTTGGAGGCTACGATAGTGTAGTTATTGTGAGTGTAGGATATTCTTGTTTTTAATATGTGAAGTTGAGGGTTGAATAATGAGTCCTGCCTATCTATACTGTCTTCTAGCACAATTAAGCATGGGGCATTTTACTGGTAATGTGGTACTAGAGAATATTGCCACATTGAATAGCCTAGCTTTAGGGAATGACATTGTAAATGTTTTTCTTGGAGCTGTACCAATTGCTTTATTCACTTGAATGGCTGTCATCTTCTCCTACTAAGCTATTTGATAATGTTATTTTGGTTAAGACTCTAATTGAGGCACTGAACTTGCCATCTGTCTGTTGACACTAGACAAGTAACTTGGTATGACAGTCATTATGAAGTGATACTTGGATACAGCGACTAAGAGCAGTTGTCCTGTTTATTCATTCGTGCTTGTTTTGTTAAAAATAAAAAATAAATTGGTCCCTGCATGATATGCAGTTGAATTATTCCTCTGTTTGTTAGCCTAAATTGATAGAAAATAAAAATGATCTAAATGTTAATAGTGAAGAAAAAGTCAGGTGACATGGTGCCTGTAAAGGTACAAGAGGGGTATGTAGAAGTGATGTCTCACCGATTTGAAATATATTATAGTAACTCTGATTGCTTGTGTTTGTTCTTCTCCAGTCAAGTTGTTGGAGCGCGTCACCCATTTGCGAAGGATCCAGACGTAGACTATGAAATTGATAGTGATGAGGAGTGGGAAGAGGTATTCCAACTTTGCTTTAAATGTGATTAATATTAAAAGATATTGGCAACTAATATTCGATTGCATAGGAGGAGCCTGGTGAAAGCCTATCAGATTGTGACAAGGATGATGAAGATGAAACTGCGGAAGCACATTCAAGAGGTGATGAAGAAGATGAGAGTGAAGATGGTTTTTTTGTACCTGATGGATATCTCTCGGAGAATGAGGTACTATAATTATAGTTGCCCTATAAATTGAATTTTCAGTTTATCTTGAGTACAAATGATATATATATCTTTGTGTTCTCGAGTGTGCATGTTTAAAAGTTATATTTTTTTCCTCCTTTATTCCATTATTGGGGCTTTTTATTGAAATGAATTTTCTGCCATGGTGGTTGGTGGCAGAGGGAGGATAGGTGAAGAAATGCGAACTTATTTTTTTCAATTATTTGGAGATATTGATTTGTGGTCAGCAAGTTTATTGGTCTTCATTGTGCCATGTAGGGCGTACAGGATGATGAAATGGAATCTGATGAATTGGTTGAGGAGACAAGAAACTTTCCTGATTCTGAACCGGCTGGGCAGAATGAGGAATTCTATACCTTGCTTCGACAACAGAAGTATCTGAATAATTTGACAGAGCATGCACTTCGAAAAAACCAACCCTTGATCGTATGGAATCTTATGCATGAAAAGGCTATTATTTTACAGGCTGAAGGGCTCACTGATGTGCAGAAGTTTGAACTAAAGTGTTTGCAATCTCTGAGTATTCGTCCTTACCCAGGTTGCCCCCCAATAGAGATATCAATTTGTAACAACACAGTACTTGAGGATCAAGAAGCTTCTCCTTCAAATAGCAAGTCAAGTACAACTCCAGTGGCAAGTGCTGCAGCTATATTGAACTCAAACTTGCCTCAAATTGTAAGTTCATTTTATTGGAATATACACTCCCATGCAGTTTGTTTTATGTGAATTTTGTGGCTAACCTGATTTATATGCTTCATGATGTAATAAACCGCCACATAGTCTTCAAGCTTAATTCACACACTTGGAAAATTGTCTAAATTTTTCAGGTGTCTGTAATCCAATCATGCTCACAAAGTATAGGCAAGGTGTTGGAGTCCTTACAAAATAAGTTCCCAGCCGTCCCAAAATCCCAATTAAGGAACAAAGTGCGAGAAATATCAGAGTTCTCTGATAATTGTTGGCAGGTAATTTAAAGTTTGTTATCTCTACGGCTTTCATCTCTAACTGGTAAAATGTAGTCCCTGTCAGTGTGAGCTCTCCTTTTTGTGAATTGAATCTTCATATTTAAAAAGAACACTTCATTCATTTTCTGTATGGCTTTCATAACCTACCACCTAGTTGGTAAATGTAGTCCTTGCTGATGTGGAAACTCACCTGGTCGCTAATTGAATCTTCATGTTTGAGAAGAAAACTTTTCATAGTCAAGGGAGATAATTTAGAGGAAGTTCTGTTGCTAAAAATCTCAGCAAATCCACATGTTTAGTTACAAAAAGCCTATTCAAGAGTGTATTCATATTTATCTCTATGCTGAGCAAACTATATAATTCAATATTTTTTGTGTCGACCGCTAAAGTTTGTTGTCTGGCACTTGACTCTATCCCCGATTAACTTTTTGAGCCACCCCGAATATTGCTGTCTGATTCTAGCTTTATTAATTGCTTATGGTGGCCTAACCATCACTTGTGGAAGTGAGTTCAGTTTCTTTTACTGATTTTTTGCTGAGACTAAGCTGAGACTTGCTGATTTTAACCCTTTTCTTATGAGGCAGGTTAAGAAAGAAATTCTAGCCGAGCTTGGTCTACATGTATCACCAGGTATAGTTATTACCTTAGTAACTAGACATGTACTCATCATTTCTGCAATTAGTATAGCCATTTGATGTGCTTGATATGATGAGAATTACTTCCCATGTGCATTTGCAGAAAAGAGTTATGGGAAAACAAAGAGCATTGCGAAATTCTTCTCAAAAAGATGTCTGCCTCCTGGCAAGACTGACAACCTGAATTCCCCACAATCATCCCACAAAGCTGCTGCTGCAGCTGCCATACGACCACTGCAGGATAGCACTATCGAGAATCAATAATCCTCTGGCGTTTCTTTCTCCTCTTTTTGGCCTGTGATGTGATCAAAGAATACCTTTTGTATAATGGTAGATTTACAAGATTTTAGCAAATGGTAGAATGTTGCATGTCTGATGGCTGATAGTAGTTTGATTTTGCTGCTGAATTACTGTTGGTCATATTGTCAATGTTTCAGTTTTGAAAGCTCAATGATACTGTTAGTGGCCAATTTTTTTTTTTTTTAATCACAAACTTACTTCTAGCAATTTCATACCTTGGGCATGTATTTTCCTTTCGGGTTAGTTGGATAGTAGCCTGAGTCAATCCTACTAACCAAGCTTCAAGTCTAGTGCGAAGGGTTCTGCTTCTGGACAGCCACTTCGAGACAGCTACATTTTCCATGGAATACATGTAAGGCAGATAATAATTGACCTTCTGGTTCCTGGCTAAACATCCACCTGCAGCAAATTTTGAGCCACCTTGGTCACATCAACAGGTGGTTTCCTTCTTTTACTTGGAAGTAGCCTTCCAAGCTGCACGTCCACAATGAGAGTTTCTTGAGATGAATGGGGCTGCGTGTTTTGATATCAATTGTAACCACCACTTCTAGTAGAACTTATCCTCCTGCATTTGTAAAGATTTTGATAATATAATAAGCTCTTTTAATCACCACCCTATTAGCTTGGATTTTGGTTTCTGAGTTGTGTTTGAAATGGCACCTGACTTTCAAAAGCTATCCGATGTTTCACCATCCCACACAACATACCCACCCTTGAGCCAAAAAGTGTTATGTCAATGGTCCAATCGATTTGGACGATAAACATTTGTAATATATAATTGATGCATTCTATTTATTGCAGATTTATTATTTAATTGAATTAATATTTCATTAAATTAAATAATAGAATCCCAAGATTCAAGTTTAAGTAATTTGTTAATCACAAGAAGTTGTGATTGTGAAATACAAATTACATATGATTGAATTTTAAATCATCCGTGATTGTAAGTAATAATGATATACGTATATCGTTAATACGGATAAACCATCGCGGGATATTTTTTACTTGTGAAGTAAGTAGTTGATCTTACAAGTTAAAACTAAGGTAATATTTAAATGAACACGTAATTGTTTTGTTATAGAATAAAACATAAAGACCTGCTGTGGATATTCAACATGGATAATTATCTGAGTGTCCGTGGTTAATTTCTAACGTTCGATAGTGGAATTGGTCTTTCGACTTGAGGTTATTATAGTGCCTTATATGAGAACAATCATACTTTGGTGATATTGAATGTTGATTTACCTAGAGTCGCTAATACGTTATCGTTCGAGTATATCAAGAATTATATGAAAATTGTGAATGATCAATAGGAGAATGTTACTCTTAGATAGTAAAAGATTGCGATCTACATTTCATTAAGTTAAGTTGATAACGAAATATTTGGCTATTGTGTACTCATAAGTAAAAAATAATTTTCAACTTACATTCGCTTAATAATGAGATGAAAGATATGATCGATAATTGAGATAACACAGATTCATATCTTGTAATTAATCGGATTATATTGATAAAGAGATTATAGTTTCGCGATAAATGAACAAATTTGATTTTGTCATACCACATGACATTTTTCATCATATGTATTGTCATGACATTGCTAAATGACAATGTAGGACGACGGATGTGAATTGATGATAAATTAAAAATAGGTATTTTAATTTATTGATTTTGATTAGATCAAAATAAATATTCGCGTCGTATGTATCGTGATCGAACCTAATGATCGCACATAAAAGGAGAACTAGAAGAATAATATTTATTAATTAATTGACCAGCGTTGACAATTAATTAATTGAGTTGCTTGTTAATACGTCAGAGTTAAATAATTAGATTAATTAATTCATTAACCAAATTTAATTAATTAAATATAGGATATGGGTAAGTTTAATAGACGAGTCAAGCCTACGTGAACTTATATTAATAAGCTAGTAGGGTTTTAGAAAAATACAACACACAATTCATTATCTTGCTAATACAAGAAAAGAGAAATCCTAATTTTCTCATTCTTGTTCACTGTGTAGATTTTCATTAGAGGTTTAACAATTGGATTGTGGATTGCAGATCGTGATTGTCCGTGTTCTAAGACAATCAAAGGAGTTTGCAGAGTCAAACAAAGTTATAATTTTTATCACATTTTCTATCTAAAACACAAAGCAAATCCGTAGTGGGAATTAAATTATTTTTATTTTTCGCTGTGCATGATAAGAAATTCCCAACAGTGGTATCGGAGTTTGTTTGTGTTTGTGTTTTTTTTTTTAAAATATAGCAATTTAGAAAATTATTTTTCAGCTACCCAGTTGCTACAAGCGGCAAGATGTGGGCAGTGTGGCTGCTAAGAGCACATAGCACGGTCGGGGCCACGGCATTGCTGGCGCTACTACAGTTAAGGCACACCGTTTTCTATTCGGTTGTCGGCACCGTCGCCAAGAAAAAAAGAGGGAGAGGAAATTCGTTTGGGGTTTTGAATGGAGAGATTGGAGGCGGGGGCCTCTAATACAATTTGAAAAATTGTAGGCCCTACTTGCAAAATAATTTCAGGGTCAAGTTGTAATTTTAAAATAAATGGTCTTCTTGCAATTTGAGAAATTGAGGGGGCTGTTAATAAATTCTAAGTAGTTCAAATTGCAGTTTTCAAAAAGGTATTTGAATTTAAATATTAAAATAGTTTTAAAATTAATTTTCAAATTTATTTTAACCTTAATTTCTATTTTGACCAGAACATAAATTTTGACTCACTTAAAATCTCATTTTAAATTTAACGATTCTTTTAAATTATCGTTAAAATTAGATTTTAACTTAAACCTAAATTGAATTTTATTTTATTTAGGAGTTTTATTCTAAATTAAAATGTTAATTCAATTAAATTAGAGTTGGATTCTAATTTGACATAATATAATTAGAATTTGATTTTAATTAAATTGTCCCGCCTTAAAACTTTGGAATTAGAGTTACACTTTGATTCTGTATTTAATTAAAATTTGATTTTAATTAAATAAGTTCGCTCTAAAATTTGGAATAGAGTTGGACTTTGATTCTGTATTTAATTAAAAATTGATTTTAACTAAATAGGTTTGTCCTAAAATTTTGGAATTAGAGTTAGACTTTAATTCGATATTTAATTAAAATTTGATTTTAATTAAATTAATTATTTTATTGTTCCTATCTATTTTGTATAGACGATCATAATTGTTAGAAACTTGAAACATATATGTATATGCATATAATATTAAATAATATATAGAAAAGTATTTATATGATGAATGTATGCTTAGAAACTTCTTGTTTTATATGCATGCGAGCTATTTATCTATTTTGGATTTGCGAGTCTGTTGTAATTATTATAAGCGTGTATGTCCTATTCATTTAGGCAAGTGTGTCAACTAATATAGGATACATGTTGTAGTTCGACTAATTGAATATACGAGAAGACGAGGAAACCATAGAATTGGAGCATTGTATAATTCAGGCCCTGTTTGGTACACATTATGTTTTTATTCTCATTCTTCTACTCATTTTCAACCACACATTCTTCAATAAAATAATATTTTTCATCACATCAATAACTTTTCCTTCATTTTTAATCACACATTCTCCATCAATCTACTATTCAATAATACATTCTTTCAAAAGAATGTATCCCAAACACACTCTCAATGTTATGTCTCTAGGAACTGACCAACTAGCTTTCCTTATGACTCGAAAATACTAGATAGTGAAAGTCTATAATCGTTCACACTGTTATATGTGTGTTTATCTACATGTTAGATGTATAATAAAATATATATACTTATTATGATGAGACCTTTGCATGATAAATCCTTCGCTAAAATGTTAAGTTAGATTTATATTCCTCGTTTATCATTATAGTGAAAATCAGAGTTCTCATTCGATCTCAACTTATTGTGTGCGCTCAAGGCTAGTCTGTTATGAACATGTTTAACACTATGAAATATTAGATATTTTTCAATGATGTGTTTGATTTAGTTATAATTTATTTTTCGTTGATGAGTGCTCCACACTCACGATATTTATATCACTNATTTATGCCTCTTAATTCATTATTGTGTTACCATTGAGAAAGTTTTAGAGTGTGATTATGTGTGTTTTGATATTGTGATATAGGTTGGTAAGATTGAAGAAAATAAGCAAAATTTGACAAAGTTGGAGAAATTGCTAAATTGTAAGAGATCCAAAGTTCGGGGACTAAAGTGCAAATACTCAAACATTGTGCCGAACCTCATGATGAAGATTTGAGAGTGTTAATGGTCAATTGGATGGATAAAGATGTCAAAGGGATCAAAAATAACTAAAGAGTGATCACGCATCAAATTCCAATCGAAAAAGTTTTACTCCGAATTTTTAGTCTCATATTGAGACTCACCTTTGACATGGTAAAAAAATAAAATTGGAGGATGATGTATGAATCAATGTTGTAGCCCGATGAGTTAGCTTTCCATCGCATCTTAAATCACCTCAATCGAATATTGGAATAAAAAATTATGATAAAAATGAAAGAAGGTGCAGTTGCCATTTTTACCCGAATCGGGCGCCTAGGCATCGCGACCCAAGAAAGAGGAAAATTGGAAATTTTAAAAGATTTTTGGCCCGGTCTAATCCTATTCCGTCTTGTAATTTGTGGGCACTATAAATACCACCATAAAGACCTAATTTTGGAGGTTGGAAGAAGGAGAGAGATACAAAAGGCTGAATCTCCAAGGATAACAACAAGAAGGAATTGAAAAATCCAAGTGAAGCTTGGAAATCATAAAAGGGACTTCAAT